CACGATTCCCAGGTCTAGCGAGACAGTGCTGCAAGAAAGTCAGTTCTGACGCCCTCGTCGACAATGTCGCTCTCAGACGCTTCCGGCACGCACCGATGCATCGGACTCAAATGCCCTGGCTTGACGTCCACGATCCGTACGACAGTCCCGGTGGTATTCACCAGCCCTGGAGGTGACGCGAGGTACTTCTGATAGCCATCGAGATCCTTGCCGTCGTTCATCTCGACCGGGAATTGCTGCGTGACATAGGGGAGCGAGAAGATGGCACTGCCGTTGTCGACGACCGTCGTTGGCAGCTTCTCGTCTAGCTTGTCTGAGACAATGCTTTTGCCTTCGGCATCGTGAGTGGTGATGATGCGAATTAATGGTCTGAGATCGTTCTCTTGGGCCATTTTGGCGGTTGTATCTGGTCTTGTAGGTAATATTAGATCTGGTATTGTAGCTCGACACGTTGCTGTGATTCTTGTGATTTCCTGGGGGCCCACTATGACACGAGACTTGTCCTGAGTCGAACTGAAGATGTCACCTAGCATCCTCCTTGACCCGAAGCATACTTCAAGGTATGCTGATTCGGATGAAGTGGACACACCCACGGATCACGGCAACGAAGTGTCCGACACAACATTCACCCGAAGAACTGCACAAGAGACCTGCACAGACATTCAAGAAGACTAGAATGCTGCATACTGAATCGCACTCGTACACTAAACGAACGCACCAACCTTGGAGCGCTTAGACCATGACTTCATCGCTGCCAGGCTACAGCTCACACTTTGGCATCGAGAACATCCCCTTCGGCATAGGATCTTCGACAAGCCACCCGGAGCCACAAGGCGTGACACGACTGGAAGACAATGTCATATTCCTGGCAGATCTGAACGATACACTTCAGGACATTCCGGACCTGCCATCTTCCATCTTCTCGCAATCCACCCTGAATGCCTTCGCCGCTCTGCCAAAGTCAGTCCACCAAGATGTACGAAGCAAGCTCCAAGCCGCCCTGAAAGATTCAAGCAGTCTGCCGAAGAATGCAGTAGAGCCCATCGCGTCCGTCACAATGCACCTCCCCGTCGATTGTGGCGACTTCTCGGACTTCAGCTGCTCCTTCGACCACGTCCAGAATGCTTCGGAAGCCATGACAGGAACTCGCTCGCACCCACCAGCCTTCTTCTACCAGCCCATAGGTTATGCAGGCCGATGCAGTAGCCTGGACGTCTCTGGAACTCCGCAGAATCGACCGATCGGGACCTACTGGACTGGTAAGCCGGGCGCGAGCGATATCACTTTTGGGCAAAGTCGAAGAATGGACTATGAGCTTGAGCTGGGATGTATTGTTGGCAAGCCAGTGACGAGAAAGGAGAGGCTGCTTGCGAAAGATGCTGGCGATCACATATTCGGGTTCGTCCTGGTGAACGACTGGAGTTGTAAGTCTCGACACTGCTGTCTTCTCGCGAGAGTGCACTGACACAATACAGCCCGAGACATCCAAGCACTGGAGATGAATCCCCTCGGTCCACTGAACGGCAAAAATCTAGGCACTAATGTCTCGCCTTGGGTCGTCACACCGGGTGCGCTGAAAGCTTTCCGCAAGCCTTCGATCGCCCGCAGAGAAGGCGTGAACATCCCCAAGCATCTGAGTGACTCAGGAAACGAAGCACTAGACATTACGCTGCAGGTCCACTTGTCCAGCGAGACTGACCGCAAGTCCTCCAGCATCGCGTGCAAGTCCAACAGCGCCTACATGTACTGGACACTGGAGCAATGTCTGTCGCAGCAGGCTTTGGCCGGCTGCGGACTGCGGACAGGCGACATTGTGGCGACAGGGACCGTGAGTGGTGGTGGCGAAGACCAGCATGGCTGCTTAATGGAATTCATGAAGCAGGGCGCCACTCCGCCAAGAGGCTATCTTGAAGATGGCGAAGTAGTGACATTAGATGGGTACTGTGGTGAGGGCGTGGGGTTCGGAGAGTGCGTTGGGACGCTCTTGCCTGCCAAGCCGTTTGATCATCTGCTATGAAAGGCCCTCGTGTAGAGGTACAGATTCTATAGCATTGCGGTCCGCCTGCTACACCCTGTTCCTCTGCTGCAGAGTGCGGTTCAGTCTCAGAGGGAACGATTGTCAAAAGCTTTGACAGCGTCAAGCGTCCGGCGCCGCGGTGCATTTGAGCTGATTTCTTGAATGATATGTCCCGAAGCAGGCGAAGTCTCGGATTTCTAGATACCATAAAGTTGACATCGCTTGGGCGTTCTCGCTGTCCCGAATAGCGTACGCACTGGTGCTTAGAAGTGCGCCGAGCCGTAGCAAAGCAGGCAAGAGCAGAACGACATCGTTCCTGCTTAGCCGGATCGAACAACTTTACTTGAACCTCACCTCATGCCAAGGCTGCTCACACAAACTTCCTGTCCGGGTCCAGTCGCTCCATCAGATCCATGGTGTACTCGTACATCGTGAATACGATGCCACCACTGAAGACCAGTCTACCCAGCCGCGGCACAGCACCACTCCACAACTGCAGCACCCCCTCTTCCCGGAAGATCTTGACTGCGCAGTCTATGCTGTTCTTGTACAGACCCTTGGCGTCTAGGGATTGCATCCTCGTCTTGACCGTATCAATTGGCTGAGTGGCATACACTGTGATGACTCCAGCCATGCCACCAATCCCAAACGTAGACAATGCCCCCAACTTCTCCCCAGGAGCCACATATGACTGCGCTAGCTGCTTCAGAGACGTATACGATGAGAATCGCACAGCTGAGTTGGCAGCCTGTCTTGCAGTCGTCGGCACAAATCCCTTGAAGAATCCCCTGATACCTTGCTCGCGAAAGATCACCCCAGAGCCGTGGAGAAAGCCGTTCATCCGCGGTTGTGGCCGCTTGCGATCGTCTATGAGTTGCGTCTTGATACTCTCAAAGGGCGTGACAGCAAGGAGTGACTCTGTAGCACCCGCCAGGAAGCCGCTCACGACTGTCATAGGCCCCGATATCCCGCCCTGCCCATCGCCCAGCAGTTGCTTGTACTGATCAAACGCCACAAAGCGGACCCCAGCCTTGATGCTGTTGCCAATGATCAACGTCGTGCATCCAGCGTACCACTGTGCACCAAATGGAGGGAATGGGACTTTCTTCGCTGCCGACAGTCGGGAGTTGAGCTGTATGCGAGTCTTTGCGAACTCGGCCGGGTATGTGATCGCGATCTCGACGGCACCAGCGGACGAGCCTGCTAGGACACTCCGGAGTGGTGAGGGTTTCTCCTTCTTCTTGGGCGACTGGGATTGGTGGGTTGTGAGGCCAATGTTTGGCACTGTGGTTGTTGACATGATCGCGTAGCGGTGGGCTTAAAGGACCCGAGAGTGTGTGCGATATCTTCCACTTCTGACCGAATTCTTCACGTCGATCTTCGAAGTGCTAGCTCCTACGCATTGGGCCGGTTGTTGGCAGGAGAGCAGTACTCGGCCATTCGACATGCTCGTCATTTCCAGAGCGGAACGAGGTCCGCCACACTCCCGAGCTCTCTGTAAACCTTCTGTCACATGTGATATAATCCTCCCATTGTACATACCCATCTTTCGATCTAGCGACCTTAGCAGCTGCTCTAGACCTTGCCACCGCCCTTAAGAAAGCCCTTCACAATGCAGTCCCTTCGCGCCATCGCCCGCGCGGCGCCCCGGGCAACATCTCGCATCACATCATCCTCCATCCGCACATCGATACGACCGTCATGGACGTCATTCAGCACACCACTTCGCACACAAACGCCACGCCTAGCAGCAGCTTTCAGCACATCCCGCCGCACATTCGATGCATCGTCAACAGAACTCGCGGCGAAACTTCAATCAGAGCTCCAGCTCGAGTCTGAGAACTCCGAGACGACCGTAGGCTCGAACGGGAACGTCGAGGCCTTCTTCAACGACACAGACTGGAAGCTACATGAGACCGATGGCGAGACCGTGGTCAAGCTCAGCCGAAACTACGAGGGCGAGCTGATCGAGGTGCGCTTCTCGATTGCTGAGTTCAACACGCCATATGAGGATCCTGAGAGCTCAGACGAGGCGCTCATGGACGAGGAGGATGAGTTGGCGGAGGGGCAGAGTGGTGGCGCGAACAGCAAGGGCGCAATCAACCAGGGCAAGACGAGTGGTGGGAACTTCAAGGTTGCACCGGAGGATGACATTGCGCCGGCTGACCGTGATGAGCTGAGGAGTGCTGAGGTATGCTGTCACCCTCTGTATACCGGTGACGACTACTGACCATTTCCAGGACGAGCAAAGTCTTCTCCCTGCAAACGTCAACGTCCTCATCTCCCACCCATCATCTCCCAACAAGGGCGCTCTTCGCATCAACCTCATGGCAGACTCTGGCGAGTTTCGTGTAGAGAACGTCACGCACTTTCCCTCAGCCAACCTGCCCGAAGCGCAAGTAGCAAGCCAGCCGCTAGACACCGAGACCGCATACGCTGGACCACCGTTCATGCAACTGGATGAGGACCTCCAGGCACTGTTCGAGGCTTACCTGAATGAGAGAGGCATTGACACGGCGCTGGCTATCTTCATTCCGGAGTACATTGATGTGAAGGAGCAGCAGGAGTATGTGAAGTGGCTGGGCAAGGTCAAGGAGTTCGTGGAGTAGTGGGCATGATGTGAAGGACTGGCAGAGCATGAGCGTATATCAGATGGTGTGGGTTTCGGAAGAGAAAGTAGCTGGGCGTTCCGGTTTGCTACCTGCACGACGCCATGGGCACGCGAAGTACCCTGAGGTACAGTTCATACTAGGTTCACCACTTTCTTGCGCTTCAGTCTCTCCTCTCGCATTATTCGATCACTGCTGTCAGGTTTCACGAGACGAATGCCGCGAAGATTCACGTTAACTTTTGCATGCTCCAGGAATTCGGTCGTTTGGGAGAACCTCTGATTACCTTGCAGGCATGCTCAGACAATGCACAGCCTCTCACGCCGGATTTTATAGCTAATCATAAACTGAATTGCTGACGTCGTTTCAACTTGCTCTACATAGCTCAGCTGGAAGAGCGCAAGACTGTAATGTGACCAACAACGCCATCTTGAGGCCCGCGGTTCGATCCCGCGTGTGGAGATGTTTTTGGCATCATGGGAATCCCCGTCGTCGTTTTGGGCACGTTGTTATCGCATATGGTCTTCAGGTGATGTTTGTATGTGACGCAGCAGTTCGGGCGGCAGGCGCAACCCGATACTGCGCTTTCCTTCTCGTTTCGTGCAATGTGACAAGCCCCGCACCTCTTTCGCGCACTCCACGACGATGACAACCTTTCAACCCTGCCTACTACTACACACACTCTACATCGCGTGCACTCGAATGCGAACGAGATCACGTCCACCTTCTCACGCGCCTCTCGTCCTGTCAACGTTCAAGCAGCATTTCCCTCCGTCCTTTCTCTCTAACCCCTCTGTACGGATTGGCAAAGCTGCGGGGACACTGCAGCTCGCATCTGGTCTAGATCTTTGACTTGCGCCGACATGAAGCCAAGCAGCAGCCGCCTCGAGGATCGCTCTCCACTGATTCCCGAACAGCCACATCAACCTTTGACGAAGAACAAAGATGCTGCTGTACCTGGCCCTGACTTGCGGATGATTTCCACGAAGAGGCTCATTGCAGCTCCCACCGTGATAGACATCCAACCAGCCTTCGTGTCAAACTCTGGCTACCACACATCACGCCTCTCCAGAAGTACGCAAGTCTTCTAGATTGAACCCCGAATAGTCTATCTCACAAAGCCGGAAGTTTAGGCCCCAAAGGAGAATTTGGCGCCTGTCCAGGCTTTGGCGTGACCTTCCAGCTTCTCTCAAAGCCTCATGGCGCTCACATATAGTCTGGATGCACAGCCAGCCTCAAAACATGCGCGGAGATGATTTGGTTCGACCGTAGAGCATGAAAGCCGTACACAGACGTTGGTTACCCCCGACTGCGTTCTCTCCGAGTAAGTAAATCTGCAGCCATTCGTTTGAGTATATTCCACATCATCATGTTGTCCTCGAAGACGATTCTATTGCTATCCACTGTCGTTTCTGGTACATTCGCCACAGCTTCATGTCCTGCACCCACAACCTGCACGGGTTTCAGCGCGTCTGTCCCGTCTGCCCTCAGGACCTATTCGCTAGCACAATCATGGTGCTCTCAGAAATACCCTGTGCCCTTGCAGATATGTACCAGTACAGCGCCAGTGTCAACGGTCACGTACATCGCAGTAACGAGCAGAGTTACAACTACAGTCGCTACTGCGTCGATCACGTCCGTCTCCTCAGGCCAATGCATTGATTTGGACACTGACAAATTCCACTGTCACACCTAGTACGGTGACTCTGACATCTACGAGCACGCAGACGCCTGATTAGGCTATCACACTGGACGTGAGGACTACCGAGACTGTAGTTGTACCCGCATCCTCGACACACAGTATCCTCTGAACTCACACTGTTTTAACACATCACCACCTCCATCGCTACAGTCATCGCTACAATCTTTGTCAAACGCGATGGTATGCTTACAGTACGAAGCGCCCGAACAGCCTTGCCAACCCATGTCTACCGTCTCCTGGGCTCGACCCTTTCCGCGAGCACAGTCACGGGCGCAGCGCTGAACGCACGGGCGGCTGACCCCAAGGCATCACAGCTTAGCAGCCTACAGAAACAAGCGTCAGCCTTCGTCGGAGGCGTCTGCACATGCTTGGAGACACCGCGAACTACAACAATAATAACAACTCCAGTCATCGCTGTGAGGACTCCTGCTACCACTACTATTAGTGTGACTGCCACAGATACAGCGTAGACATTAGTCAACTTGTCGAACCCTGACTTGCGCATACTAATGCAGCTTAGAACCGTCACTGCTACAATCTGGACGTCAATCATCGTGACGGCTCCGCCACCTACGAGCACGCTCACGCGGACCGAGACGGTCATCTCCACGACGGTCGTGACTACGACATCAACGAGTACCCAGCAGGCCAGCCCGATACCTTCCACCGCCTCTTGTGGCCAGACCGAAAAGAATACGGATGGTTTCACTGTCCGCTATACCTGCGGGGCCCGCCGATCAGCTAGAGGGGACTTTGAGAGCACGCTCTTCAGCCCATCATTGCAGGCATGTCGGGACCAGATCAGGAATTTCGGGGACATCTTCGGCATCGATTACGATTACAGTTCCTCGCTGTGCACAACATGGACTTATCCGTGCGCGGACGCGGCATGCGAATCCCAATCCGGAATGGACCATTTCACCGTGAGGCCTGCAGCTGGATTCGTGTTCGTCGACATAGCGGATTTCCTCTCGCCGCCGACGTACCAGTGAGCGGCTATTTGGGTGATGAGTCGCACGTCGTTTGGCCTCATGACACTGGCCAGCACCAGAGACGTGCAACGATGTACAATTTCACGGGTACGCCTCAGCAATTCCACGTCCTCCGACCTGTTTCACGCGTTTCAAACGTAGCATGCGGGACTGTCATGATTCCGGGCCAACTCTGCAACTACTGTGCGGTACGTGGGCGGGGCGATGCTGAACGAGTCCCGCGTAGCGCCTGCAAAGGGGACTGTATCACTGAGTACTCGGGCTCGCGATAGTATCAAGCGAGCAGCTTATTGATGCGTGCTGGAGCCGGCGACACCTCGACATGAGTTGAACGAAGCCAGAATAGGATGGAGTGCCCACAGAAGAACACCCCATTGAGGAACGTTTGTTGCCATCATACATAGGTTTTGCGATCGTAAGTGTCGCCGAAAAGCGACTTGCATTTTCGATCGTCAAGATCATAATGCATACCTTTCACACGCAACAGAGTGCCAATCCTAACCGAGACAGCGCCCTGTGGAATCAATTGAGTAGCAACACAAATTCATCGATAGATGGCCCAATCATAGTTCTCATCATAGTTCCCATCAACTACCTCCCATCATCCCCTCGATCCTCTCCGCTACCTCGCCAGGCTTCTCGAACACATACCATAGCCTCCTATCAACGCCCTTGAAAGCCTTCTCGAACCTCTCGCTCGAGTTCTTCTCGTTCTCGTTCATCTCCGCGATGCCAGTGACCTTCCTGATGAAAATCGCTCCCACCCACTCCGGGAAGGCTCTAGCTGCATTGCCGTAAGCCTCAGGATCAGACTGCGTACTGTCGCCAATGAGTATGAACTTTCGTCCAGGAAGCCAGGAGTGCACTTTCGTGATACGATCGGTCTTGTATTCGTTTGTGCCTTGAGAGAGGGAGGTGATTAGACCGCCTAGATTCTGCCACGAGGCGTCACGCAGTATGGTGGTGCCGGATGGGTAATTGGTGGTCAAGAATGTGCGCAGGAAGGGATAGAGATTGTAGGGTGAAGCGCTGAGGTAGAAGAAGGGTGGCGACTCGTTGTTCGGGTTCTTTGTTGCTAGTAGCTTATTCAGATGAGCGTACAATTCTGGCATTCCTGAGATGGGCTGGGGTGTTTCGACACAGAATATGTTAGTCAGAACGCCAACGGGCGAAGGTGTTTGCGTGACCTTGATCGTGTCGTCGATGTCGGAGAGTATTGCCCATCCAATAGGTGCAGCAAAGTGCGTTGTGGCTGGCAGCCCGAATGGAGGAGGCAGATCGAGGGCTGCAGTCTGTACGGCAGGCGCTGAGGGTCTGCGTGGTGTCAGTCATGCTACTCCAGAAATTTGATGTCAGCAACGTACTGTATCTGCAGGTCATACACCTTAGAGCTGATCCCGCTCTGACTACTCGGCCCAAGTTCCAGCCTTGCCTTTCCGTCGACACTGACATCAATCGTCCTTTTCGGCAGCACGGTATCAACAAACGGCTGCAACCTCTTCGCCACCCTCTGCCTCGTCACATCATCCGCCTTCAGGTCCACAAAGTCGAGAATAGTACTCACGACCCGCGAGACGTCCTTGCCAGAGTTCTTGATGAAGTAAGCGGCCACGAATTCGGCTTTCCACCCCGAGTTCGAGTCTCGGAATGCTGTGTTGTCAAGGATCCATACAGCGTGCAGAGCCGGGTCTATGGGCTTGACGGGCGTCCAGGGCCAATTTATGGGGAAGCGATCAAAGAGGTCTGGCATAGCGTGGCGGAGCTCAGCGTCTACATCTGGACTCCATGGACTGCTGCGTTCGATGGCGCCGAAGGAAGTAGCATCGACGAGGGCACGGCGGCCTTGGGAAGTGAGCTCATTGAAGAAGTCCATCGTGTGCGTCTTGGGACTGTCACTCGTGAGGTGTATAGCAGATGACCGAAGTCACGGTCTGCAACTTGCTGTATTTCGTCTCTGCGTGTACGAAAGTGTGCTAGGATCTCGTGAGTATGACTGTCGGTCGCGGCGTAAGCCCGAGTAAGCTGATCACTCGACACAAGACTTTTACGATAGTCAGACCAGCTGTCTAAGACAAAGAGCTACCCGATAGCTGCGTGAGGTCGCTGTGTGACAAGCTCGAGTGTGGTCACACTCAAGCGCCACGAGCTGCATGACGCCGTTGGCTGGGCGGCGGTGAACTCTACTCTGTCCTGAAGTGGACAGTCATGCTGCATGCTGCATGCTGGGAATCGCAGAAGACGGCTCAATTGATACGCTCATGACGGTGAGCAAACAACGCTATCATGAGTAAAGGACCAAGATGTACAAGGCTTGACATACTATTGCGATTCACGCTGCTACGGTGGCTTGGCTCTACCTCACGTCGCCAGCCGAGGAAGCAGTTCCCGGGAGTTAGAGCACACATGTTGCAGCGAGCACGAGCACGAGCACGAGTCGCATGTTCTGGCAGTTTTATGGCAATGTCAAGTAAGGCGCATCGAAAAAGCCCGGTCTGACCATATTGAATGTGGCCGCATGCATTCTGAGGTAGACGACTAGCCTCCTCTCTGCCATGCTAAATTCCCACCCAATGTAAACAAGAGTACAGCCGTCATAGCACCAAGTCTCATCTATATGTCTTTGCGTATGTAGGCGACAGGGCCATCGTACACCTTGCGCCCCTTGACTGCGTAGTATGCTGCAGCAAGGATAAGAACACCGGCGAACTGTAGATTGTCAGTGGTAAATTTCAAGCGGGACATTGAGGTTCTGCTCACAATGACGATGTT